GAATACCTGAAGACCTTTCAGAGGCTTATAAAACAAAAATGGTCCATTTTCCACTAGGCCAAAACTTTGGCTCCATTTCCTCTCTCGTCCCACCTCCAAACTGAAATGTGTTTGATCTAATCTCTTACACGGCTCATTCTAAATAATCCTATTTCCTGTTGTTTTTCTGAGCGGTTTATGAATAACCTCCCTGCTCTCTCACCACAGGCTGCAAAGAAACCTCCGTTTTCACACAGTGGCTGCTTCTACACTGGCAAAGCTGGAGACATTTACTACCCCTCCCCACCCCCCTTCTCACCGCTGCAGGGCTGCCGGTGGAAGTGAGAGCTGTAGACAGGGCTCAGGTAAGCCTGTGCATTTTTATCACTGTGCCATCATCTAACCATGCTCTAAACTCCACTGCAGCCTCTAACATTACTACCCCTGGGCTGAGTATTACAGATTCCATTTTTGTCCATATAGACAAGACCTAAACCCGTAGTGTAGACCAGGCCTTTGGAAAGCATCGTTCATACAGAAGTATTACACATTCCAAAGCAGTTTTTACTTGCAAGCCAAAGCAAACGACATGGGGTATTGTTAAAAAGGTTTCAGTCCCTTATGTTGTCCTATGGTACAGGAGGAAAAGGTCTATAGATTAAAAAAATACTTATTTATACACCATATTGTTATCCTGTGGAACTCACTGCCACAGGAAGTCGAGTCAAATCAATGGATAGCTTTTATAAAGACCTGGATAATTGTCTGATCAACAACACTGATAAAAGAAGGGGGCTGTAGCCCACGAAAGCTTATGCTCTAATAAATGTGTTAGTCTCTAAGGTGCCACAAGTACTCCTGTTCTTTTTGCGGATACAGACTAACACAGCTGCTGCTCTGAAAACTGATAAAACCAGGTAATAATAATCTCATGCTTCAAGCTGTAAACTGATCACCTTCAGGAAACTTCAGCAGAGAGGGCAGTTGAAATGAACACTTGCGTTTAAGAATCTTGTTAGGGGGGTTCCTGTAGCCAGTTAATGCAAACCTCTCAAAGGTTAGATGTTTGCAAGAATGAACACGCACTCAGTCCCGATGGGTAAGGAAGGGCTTGCCACAACTGCCCTCCAGAAAGGCTTACGTGGATTGTGTTTCTTTGTCTCCGGGGTAGCCACTGGAGGACAGCATAGGTGCATCTGAACAGGGGCTCTCTGAAGCATGGTCCCTGTGCATGCATGAATCAGTCATTTTAGACTCATGACCAATTGCTCCAGCAAAGAATGCAGTGCTTTGTGTTTAATTGCATCTAGCATCTCTGCGTAGCCATCTTGTTTGGACAAGGATACTGGAGAAAGCCCATTAGTGATTGTCCTCCAGTTGTAATTCTTCTACTGATTAAATATTCAGAAGAGCTTTGATGCTTTTAATACCTAAGCAAAATGCCCAATCTCTACGCAGCGAAGTTCTTCTGATAACTATTAAAACATGTTGGGAAATCGTTTATAAGCTGCCGGTTCCCCTACACAAATGACAGCAGGATGTTACAAAAAATACTGTATTCAGAGCTGCATGCCTGACTAGAATGAATTCTTCTCAGGCTGGGAACACACAGACCATTGTGCTCACTGCATTCAGGGCTGTTTCCCGGATCCCATTTTCATTGTCAATATGAGCTTTTCTTAAAGGCATGCCCAGCCCCTGCTACCCTTTCTCCCCTCGCAAATTTCACCTTGTTTGACTGCCATGATTTATTCCATTCTGGAGCTAACATTGAATAGCAAAGGTGGGGCATTGTGCCACTTAGCAGCCTCTTTTTTAATCTTTCCAACCAAAAAGGGTTTTTGTGTGTGAGTGGCTCTAACTGAAAGCAGGCACTTAACTCTGCTTGCTGTAGCCTGCATCCTTCCCTTTAACTGTTGTTGTTTGTTTCGCAGGAGGAAGGGCTTTAGGAACTGACAATGCTGGAGGGGGAGGGTTGATCTTGTTTGACAAAAAGGTGTGAAATGAGGGTAATATTGCAATGCTGCTGCTGACAACTTGTCTTCCCCCTTTGGCGTAAAGGGCACTGAAGACCAGGAAGGTTTTGCAAAAACATAAGGGAATTTTTTAAAAATTCTAAACTTGCATGTTACAGAAATAAAACAAAGAAGTGAAACTAGGAACTGTTTTAATCGTGGAAGCTCCAGTCACGTCTCTCCTAGTCTGTTACCAAAACCCCTCAGTTCACTTTCATCTCAGTGTAGTCCAGGCATTATCCTAGATGTATCTGGTCTGAAATACTGATGGCAAGTGAATGTTTTATGAGCCAAACTTTGGAGGCAGGTGCATGGTACAGTGCCTCATTCTGCAGGCAGAGGCACACAGAGTAAGGAAAGGCTACAGGATTAAGACCAAAATTAGTAACTTCCGCCTGAAACCAAGAGCGAAACTCTAAAACAAGGAGTGCGGTGGCACCTTAAAGACTAACAGATTTATTTGGGCATAAGCTTTCGTGGCTAAAAACCTCACTTCTTCAGCTGCATGGCTGAAGTGGGTTTTTTACCCACGATAGCTTATGCCCAAATAAATCTGTTAGTCTTTAAGGTGCCACCGCACTCCTTGTTGTTTTTGTGGCTACAGACTAACACGGCTACCCAGATAGTGAAACTCTACGTGACTTCAATGGGCACAGGCCTGGGGCTACACTTGCAGTAGTGGATCATGCATTAGGGCTCTGGGGGATACCCGGGACCCCTCAAAGTTATTGGGCTTTTGCCAATGAGGCCAGGATTCCACCCTGTCTTCAGTCCAGTCTTCCCCAGTGTGTTCCCCCAGGTCAAAGCTAAATGCTCCATGCCAGGGCGAATGGTTCATAGAAAACTCCACTGTTTGCAGAAGACATTGAAGACAGATACTAGCCACCAACCCTTTTTAAAGATCACCTGTGTTTTCTTTATTCATGAATGACAAATCCTCCTTCCTTTCCTCTGCCTCAGGGTTCCGTTAGTGTGAATGAGAAAGGGAAGATTCTCTTAATTGTGAAAGCCAATAGCAACACAGAATTACAAGCAAATTTTAGGTGCTTATTTGTCATGACTGCAAGCACCTGCATTTGGGAAGTGACTCTCTCATGGTAAAAATTGTATATTTTAAAAAGTCTTCGGTGGATGTTGCAAGCCACAACTTAGAGGACTAAAGCAAAATATTTGAAAGATTTAATTTGCTTTTTCCAACCACATCAATTTGGCTAATGGTTGGATTTGCTTCTGCTGTACTCAGTTTAATTCCCATGTGCTTATGCACTAGCGCAATGCTGCAGAGTTTTGATTGCAGATGCTGCAGAGAAATATTTATTAGTCAAGGAAAATAGTTTAAATGGGTATTTTAAAAATAAATTAATGAAGCATATCCATTAGTTTTAGATTTCGGGGAAAATTTGACCAGACACTGTGCTTTCAAGGGGTATGTGGGATTAAGATGTCACTGTCGCCTGGGTAATGCTATGTAGCTTTAGCAACAGTCATCAGATTCATAAACTTCTGGTTGAGGGGTTATGAAAAGCCCTCAGACATCCTGAAATAAGAGGCACTGATTTGGTTTTAGTTGTTTTAGCTGCTGGGTCAGTGACTGGCTGGTTTGAACCCCTCTCTCTTCCCCAAATGGACCCAGCTGAAATGTTATTAAGTCTGCTCTGGAGTGAAAACAGGAGGCCAGTTTCCAGACCTGCTTACAGAACATATGGGGGAGAGCATGGCCTGGTCTTCCCTGCAGCGAGGCGGCCACTAGGGCTCCTTGGGGTTACTGACAGGACTTGGTGAGACTCAGGGCTGCACTAATTCATAAACAGTTCAAGCTTAAGGAAGTGCAGTAGTGGCTTAAAACCATTGCGGCTGGATCTCCCCTACAAGTGTGGGCGTCAGTCATTGTAAAAAACACAACATTCAGCTTTTTTTTTTAAATAAGTGACATTTTTGACAACTGAAGTCTGCAGTTTTAGATTTTGCAGAGGGCAGTTTCATGGTCTTCTAAAAGACCCTCAAAGTGTGTTTATTGTGTGCAACTACATGCCCCTACCAGTGGTGTGGAGGTTTAAATGAAGATTGATGTCAGGAGTGTGTTGAGTAAATACACAAGACACGGATCCTCTAAGACAGGGAATGCTTTTTTATTCACAAACCCACAAGAGAAGTGGACGGTTTGGGTCTGTACCAAAATTTTCCATGATTTTAAGCACAGATCAGTTACCAGACAACACACACACACATTTGGGCATACACTGCTACATAGAAGTTAACTGATCGGACCAAACATTTTGAATGTTTAGAATAGTTTAAGCTCCCTGTAAGAG